GAGGAAATAAGATGATACGGCACTTACTGTGCTTTATTAAATGAGGGCACAAAAGGAAGCAGACTGGATATAATTCTGCAGTCATGATTAGGTGAAGAGGACTTCTGACTGCCTCACGGTTAAGCAGAAATTGAAGCTAACAGAATGGTCCACCTGAGACTCTTTCTGGATAATCAAATCATTCTTGGATAGTTGAACATTGTATCTGAAATCGTCCTACCTGATGTACCCTGTGTCCATTTTTCATCATCGTCAAAGTGAACATCTCCATAAAATCCAGGCCCAGGTGGATAGGCGTGAGCCAAAATGTGTCCCGGTCCATCAAAATAATGAAAGTCTCCATGTGCTGATGGAGAACAAAACAACCAAACTGTAAGCATTAAGAATTTATTGTCTTTTTTCAGTAAGACAACACCACATTCTCTGGTCTAAATACTGGTGTCTCCTCAAAGCCAGATACTGAAATGTAATCTCTAACAGGATGGGATCAAATGTGGAGCCTTGAGAAGGTGATCAGGTTATGAGGTCTGCATGGATGGGATCAGTGTCTTGATATAAGTAGCTGGAGGAAGCCATGTGAGGTGCCACTTAAGAACAGACTTCATCAGACCGAGTCTGCCAGCACCTTCCTCTTGGACTGCTCAGCGTCTAAAATGTCTAAACTTCTGTTATTTACAAATTACCCAATGTGAGGTGTTTCATTTTAGAAACCTGAACTAACTCAAAGACCAGATGAGTGGATTCATTACTTCATTACCTCCAACCTCAAAGGAGACCATGATGTCAGCCTCTCCTTCATAGATCCTGGAGAACGAGAGCGGCGTCACCTCCTCCCAGACTTTCAGAGCTTTTTCAATGGCGGAATCTACAGCCTCCCTTGGTAAATCCAGAGTGTAGTTCACAATCCTGGATGAGAAAAATTCAAGAAGATAATAATTTGGTGCTGTGATACAGCTTACAAAACTTTAATTGCAAGTGAAAACTTTGTACCCATTACCTGTATGTGAGTTTGTTTTTCCTCCACTTTGGCGTGCCGGGAAAGGTAGAGAAGCCACCAACGTCAGGAACGCCACACCTGGGCTTGTGCATCACCTCCACGGTGCTGGAGTCCAGCTTCCCCGTCACCTTCAACCCCAGGAACTTCTGCATTTCTTGGATTTTTTTGACAGGAGGACTATTGTCCATTCTTCTAAAAGCTTGTTTCACATCTTTTTCAAGGTTGTAGTACTTTTCTAGATATTGCTATTGGAATAATAAGTACAGTTTTTAAGTCATTACTATGAATTTTTAGCCATTTATACATATCTCAAAATCTATTTTAATTATTCCCAGTTTATTGAATCAAAAGCATCATACTTGACTTTTTTTTT